GGCCACTAACTGAGAACCCCATTACCATAATGTCATTAGTTATGCATGATCCACAGCACCAACGCTGGACACACAGAGAGAGGGTACAGCCTGAAAGAGGTGACCCTGACCTGACAACAAAACATCTCAAATAAAAGCCAAAAATGGACAAAGAAAAGGCATTTAAAAGAATTTCAGGAAAGGAATCACAGCTACTACAAACGCACGTTTCATGGAAATATGAGTCATTCTTCACAGATAAGGCCCATGCTCACGACTGGGCAGAACCTTCTGGTGCACACATGAAGGCTCGTTTGATATGTGAAAATACTACAATCGACCAGCTGTAATTAAATGTTGTTCATTTCTTTGCCGGAACTGAATCATCCAGACCCAATCCACAGAGCCACTGTTATTTTTGTCCCAGTGTTCACAGGCAGAAAAAAATTATTTTTAGTCTCGGCTTTAAACTTTAAAACTTATCTAAACATGAGTCTCCCCTGCTCCTGAATGATATTGAGGCAAGATGCTGAAATCCAGACCGATGCCTCCCCATTTCATAGTCACTCTTTGCAGCAAATCAAAACGAATGTGTCACGATCAGTATGGCACAACTTTCTTACGTTTTGGAAGTCTCGATCTGTCAAGGCACCTTTGTCCTGGCATTTTGTGGCTGTGGTATCTTGCACCAAATAAACACAGCTGTGTTTGTAGCTTGGGAGATGCTTTTTGCTAAAGAGTCGTGCCATATCCGCCCCAGCAACAGACCACTAACTAGCTGCCTTTCTGAGAGCTATCTGGCTCCACATTTGTGTGAATGGATGGCTGTTGGGCTGCGTCCCTTCAGGCCTGCCAGTCACACAGACCGAAAGAACCGTAGCTCAGGACAATGATGGTGATGGTGTAAAGGGACGGTAACTATTTTGCCTCCTACTGGCAGCTGTTACCCCTCTTATATTTACTGACTGCAAGATCCACAACATTTAAGAAGTCAGCTGGCACAATATCACCAACAGCTTGGCTACAGCCGGGTCGGTGTGCAGCCACTGTAAACTGAAATGGCCAAAGTCTGTCCATCACTGGCTAAACTGACAATGTTTCCTAACTGCAAATAGGACTGCGAACTTTCCAAATGGTTATAATGCAATAGACAGGCAGCTGGTCCTCTTGGTTAAACATGAACAGGCTGTTCTTGGACAGAGCTGTCAGCAACAGTCAGCAGAGGTCACAGAAAGCTGGCTGAACTCTAATAAAGACGAGAACCTTATGAGGACTCCCACAGGTAAGCGCCATTCAGCTCGAACATTTGAGTCTTAATACCCAAGTCATTAATTTAGGTATGGCATTAAAATAGTCCATTTGGTACCATTAGATTGACAGGAAATAAACAACTAGGTACGTGGACTCACAAAGACTAATGCAAAACTCTGGTAAAAGTACAAGTTTGCTCATGGGCTTTTTTAATAGTATTTCTGGCAATGATTCCAGGCCTACTAATGTGTGATATGCAAATGCTAGCATCTTTAAAGCCTGATAATGTATCTCGCCTGCAGCACCCAGCCAGCACTCCTCTTACCAGCACTGTCAGTTAACACCAACCCTAAGCTGTCAGCACTACTGAGCACCACGCTGAGAGGGAGGGTGTGCCTTTCCAACGTGGACACGAACAAGAAATAAGCTGCCAGACTAAGATAGAGAGAGAAAGGAAAACCAGAAAACTGAAAGCAAAGACATGAGAAGTGGGCAAGAATGGACGAAGCGATGGACAGGCAGACGGCAGCTGAACATGACATGACGTGGTCGTGGGACAACACAGAAGAACAGTCCTACACTGCCTCACATACAGAAGGAAATCCATTTTGGTCAGTTTTATCCTACATTTTTGCACATGACTCGCAAAACATTTACATATTCTAGTATCTTTAAGCATGCAGGTTTCCACACACCCCCGAACATTTTGTGCTTCCAGCCCATCCCACAATGTCTACACATTAAAGGCCTTCACAGAACAATGGCTGACCTCTGGCCCGTCTGCTGTGTGGGCCACTTTATGATGTTTAACCAGGAGGTTGCCAACTTTATGTATCTGTCCAACAGTCACAAAACCTGCCAAGATCTACGTGCAAAAATGGCATGATGAGAAAGTGGCAGTGGGAGGTCTCAGGGCGCCAAAGTGGTTAAAAACTTGCTGCATCTCCTACCGTCATATACTGAGATACATTAAGCAGCTTTGCTTGCACCTGTCAACCACTGAACAGTAAAACAACATTCTTCATCTTACAAAACAATATGGTGTAGTCAAGTGATGGCTGGAGAGGAGATTACAAACAGACTTCCAACAGTAACCGAGTTCCTACTCTTGTTGTCCACGACTCCAGCTGTAATGCTGCTATTACAGGTCTGCAGTGACTGAACAGCCAGGCACGTCTGTTCTGTTGTGAACTAACAACACAGTTCTGAGTATGCATTGGAATGGCTGCAGCTACAGTTTGGCTCATCGTCACAGACACGCTTAAATGTGAGTACGTTGCTCTGGTATCTGATGCTACGCTACTGCTAACTTCAACCTTATTTCTCCCATGGGAACCCGCTGCCCTCTGCTAGCAGGTGCAGTTTATCCCAATTACCCTTGCCACACCTGTGGCCCTGCTGTCTTCCTCCCTCCATCCACATTTTTTACTATCTGCTCTGGCTCTCTCTCTAACTCTAACCCTGCACCAACATTTCTTTTATACACCGTAGTGATGGCAGGTTCAGGTGCACTTCTCAAGTGAAGCAGGGCTAGAGCCACAGGCAATTTACTCTTCCCCACCTGAGTCCATCCACTCCTAAAAGTCAGGACTACTTTAGGTTTGGGCAGAGCAAAAGTAAGACATTTCAAGTTCAGCTCAGGATTCTCCTCAGCACACCATTTATGAATTTATAATGTGCATAAAAATAAAAACCATAAGAGTGCCTTTTTATGTCATGAAAACAAGCTTTGCTCGGCCTTAGTAGTCAAAGTTTGATACCAACAGCGCCGGAGCACAGTCTCAGATCCCTCTGTATGTCCCAGCTATCTGAAATGGGATTCTTCTTTGTGATGAAGGTTTGTGCAGAAGAAACCCACATATCTTACTCTTCTATCTTTACAATTGTTGAGCACAAAACCCAGTTCTGCTTTCAGAGAGGTTCCAACAGCAGTACCAAATATTTATGCAGTTGCACAATCTTGCAGCCCGTATTTGATAGCAATACTGGATCATTTAGCTGTAAACTTACGGGCCATTTACAGAACTAAGGACAGTACAAGCTAACAAGTCTGTGCCACATGCTTTTCAGTGAGTTCTAATGTAACATAATCCTGGCAGCCAAAGCTTAACACATGATATGGAGCAATCAACAGCCTGCAATGGTGTCCTAAATAAAAACGTGCAGCATGACAGGCCTAATTCCCAAGATAAGTAGTTCAGCTCCAGCAAACCATCATCCTCAGACAGGGATTCCCACATGCATCCGGGTCAAGACCGACCACAAACACTAGCTCAAATACACTTCTGAACGTCCATCTGTTTGGTATTTTGTTTATCTGGGTTCCTCCAGAAAGGATTACTGTAGAGAAGCTCAAAATATTTCATGCTGTCCCAAAGGTAAAATGACAGGATATGCAGGGCATGCCATGGGTCGGGTGGCTTCTGTTGTTCCCTTCAGGCATCCCTGGGGATCCCAACCACACTGATGGGGCCACTTTGTGATGGAGAACATCAAACCGACCAAATAGGTCTCATTCACAGCTCTTTGGTTTGCTGAGATGCCATTCAGGGCCGACTGTCACACGCCTCTGAAGTGCTTTCTGCAGCTTTGACAGCAGAAAGAAGGTAGAAAGAGGCCGGGCAGTGCGGCGCAGAGGCTGGACCAACAGGACAGAGCAGGTCCATATGATCTGAGCAGCGGCAGCAGACTGGCGAGCAGCAGGCAGCGAGAGGAACCGACTGCGACCCAAAAGATGTGGCACGGATGGTGGAGGATTACGTCATCGCAAAAAGGAGGACGCCTCATCACAGCAGAACCCTCACATCCATCCCCAGCAGCTCATCATGGACAGCTTTCGGCCAAACAAGGAGCAAAACGAACAATCACTGATGGACCAGAGCAGGGTCCGACCAGGTCCGACCAGGTCCACGCAGGCATAGATATGCATAATAAAGGCCTTTATTATACATAATAAGGGCCTTTACTACATACATGTATGCACGCAGGCCTACACGTATGTAATAAAGGCCTTTATTATACATAATAAGGGCCTTTATTACATACATGTATGCGCGCAGGCCCCTCTGGTGACACGAGCAGCCGCTGCTTCAACACTTATCAGCTCTGATGACAAAAAACAACCAACTGTGCGTCCGCTGTCTGCGACATGTGAGGATCAATCAGTCAAAGCTCACTGGCGCCCAAACAGCGGAAATAATAATGACTAATGAAAGAGTCCAACGCGATGAAGGCGTTTAAAAGCCGCACAAGTGACGCTAACTGGATTCCATCATTAAAGGGCTGATTGTACTCTGCCCAATGAATGAGCCACTAACGACCTATTTAACTCATATCTATATATAATATGTGGAGTACAAACAAAGTTTTGTTGATTCAGTTACCATTTAAATGCACATTACGTGTGCGCACTGAATTAGCTCGTTTCGCAGCTACGAAAAGTAAGCTGCTCGATATTGAATGGGCTAAGAAACAGCTAGCTAGCAAGCAGGCTACACGACCACTGGCTAGTAAGGTTATGAAATAAAATGCAGATTTAGGAGTTGTATTTCGGTTTGTGAGGCGCCAGTCCACCGGGCACACATGTAACGAGCAAGCGGCCGTCTGGAAGGAGCCTTGTGCCGCCGCTGCTTCGCAATATTCGCCGTTTTAGCGGTGACGGGGGCAACTTGGATAAAAGTGACAGCGCTAAGCTAGCAAGCTAGCTAGCTAACGTCAGTTGGCAGTAAAAAAAAAAAAACTAGTGGCCTGTGAATGAGCGTCTTTCTTACCGTCATAAACTGCTCCAGGGGCGTCCAGTTTTTAAGGAATATAATTTTATCTGTATGAGGAAATGGTTTGTGTAGGGGCGATATAGCCCGAACATCCAAGATCAGTTCACCCACTGCCGATGAAACCCGAGCATCATCACTATCACCGTGTTCATCAGTACTCGGAGTCCGGCGCTGCCTCACACACATCCATCCAGCAGAGCGGGGCCTCCTCCGGGCTCGACCATGCGACTGGCTCCTCGGCGACGACGGATAATCCACAAGACAGGAGCCCCCGCAGCAACCATTGGCTAGACGCGGCGACGAGCAGTCATTTCAGGTCGACAGAATGAGAAATATAATCCCACGTATGCGCATAAACAGGCAATACGCGAAGAGCAAAAGGAAGAATAAAAAGGTTAGGCGGGGAAAACGCTGTCCATCAAATCACAATGCAGGCGAATGTTGCGTTTGTGGCTTTCCCGACATGAGCCTGCCGTTGTTGTCAGCCGTCCCTGCTCCCTCTGCAGCTGCTCTGCCTGCCCCGTCTGCCTTGCAGCACAGCAGCGATCAGGACACCGACGTAATGGCGCACAGCGAGGCACAGGGGCGGGGCCACGGTGCGGGAGGCGCGCTGTTTGTTTTTGAGCGCACCCAGGTAGAGCTGCTGCAAAGTCTAATTCCCACACGCAGCTGCATCGACAGTTCTTCTAATGTCGTCCAAATCCTGCCTTCAGTCCATATGTGTCCACGCGTGGCCACGGAGCCGTGATCACAATACGGACTGCAAAATGCATGAGAACGTGCTGAATAATGGAGCAGCAGGTGGAGTGTGTAACCCTAACATATGCAGAATGTAAAGAGCATTTCAATTTTTCATAAACTGGAAAAATAAGATATCATAGCTTTAAATATTTATTCTGTACGAAACAGACTGGGCTTGCCTGTGTCACACAGTGATCTGCATAACAGAAGCCTGGGAGCTGGTGGACAATGTGTGATTCCTTCTGCATACCTGCAAAGTCTGTGAATGCTTGAATTTTCTGTATGTGACAAATGCAGCATATAATACTACAATATACACTGCATTAAACGGTGAAAATGAATTTAATTTAATTTTATAAAGGCAGCAAAAATTAAAATACTATTTAATCGCCCACGCATGGGCAGTGGGAATGTGTGTCATATGACATCATGGCCTAGTGATGGACAAACACACCTTTTATCTTATTGTAACACATTTCAAATGTATTTTCAAATTGTGATTAATCATTTTAGAAGAGTAGCTTCTTCAGGAGTCAGAATTTTAAAATGAACTCCACCTGTGACTTTCAAAATGAATGTTCTTATGAAAAAATAAAAGATAAACAAGTCTAACCCTCCCCATTCAGGCCAAATGAATCCATAGCTCCATCATTCATGAATATTGTAAAAGAAAGACAGTCCCAAACTGTGAGACTCGTAATGTGGGCTGTACTGACCTCAAGTGGTTCAAGCAGAAACATGCCGCAGAGCAACAAACAATGGTCCATTGTGCACATAACTCAGTGGGGCCTACAATGAAGTAAGCTGATGAAGCGGAGTGCTGAGAACAAGACAATAAGCCCAGTGTTGTTCATATGCATATTCTGAAAGCTGCTTTGTTGTTGCAGAAATGATGAAGTAGACCTAAAAATTCAGAGCTTTTTGATAGGATTTTTTTCCTCCAACTTTTTCCACATTTCTTCAGTCGTGTACGGGTTAGGGTTAGACTGATAGGGGATTACTTCTGGCACAACAGGAATACTAAGTACCATATGAGGTGTCAGCGTCGACAATCTGCTGCATAATCACGGATCTGGAACAAATTCAGCTCCTTGTTTGAGGACAATAATGTGAAAAAAAAAGAGTTTCTGCGTATGTCTGTCTGCAACATTATTAATGACATGCTTCTATATTTAGTTTAGTCCACTGGGTACAGGATTGGAAATGTAATTAAAACACTGTATCTAAACCTTGTTAATAAGCAGACAGATGACCTCAGGGAATCTGAGCGCTATATGATGAGTTCTGAGTTGCCATAAGCTGCATATTAAGATTATTATCGCTGAACAGTTTCGTTGGGGTCATTCAAATAATGGGTCCTTAGCGTGTCACCCTCTTTAAACGTTCCTTTTTCTGACCTGTGATGAATACAAGAACATTGCTGTTCATTGTTTGTGAGCATAATTCGTTGACTAACAAAGAACATTTTTAAATTTACTGGGAAAATAACCACTTTCACATGATGTCTATCTGAAGCATTATGGACTGTCCTGCTGTGAGGGAAGGTTCCGTCTTTTTCCAAACTTCCATATTTATGTACAAAACACAAACAGTAGAGTTCCAACGTATTTCCTTTGGGTCATAACGGGTTTTCCTGTCCTTCAGTGAGCGGTAACACATCTGCAGATACTGTAAAGGAGGATGTTGGTGTTTGTTCCAGATTCTTTAACACTGAGTAACAATGACTTGCCATTTCTCTGCAGGCGATTACAAGAAAGACTTCAGCTGAGCATGTGAAGACAAAGTGAGCTCAGAACTTGGTGTTTTTTGGTGCCCCTCCAGCCGGAGGCCAGTCGGGGCACGGGCACTCCACCCAGGATGCACCACCAGGGTTCTCACCCTCATCCCATTTCCTGTATTTTCCCTCCCCCCAAAAGAAAACTTAGTCAAACAAAAACAACCACTATCCAAAGAAAAAAGAATTTGCCCTACAAGTTTCCAGGTGAGTCCAATTTCCAGGTTTTTCCAGGTAAGTCTAATGTTTTTTTTCCAGATACGTGTAAATTTAGATCTTTAACCCTTTCTGTCAACCAATTTGCCTCAATAGTGTCCACCCCCACTTCCCTCTCACAACTAATCAAGGGGCAGTCAAATTCCAATCAAAACCAAATGCAATCAACTCCCAATCAAATTCTCCAACCTCCCCCCTCCAGCAACGTATCCCCTGGGACCCCATGGGCAATATGTGCCTCCTCTTGGGCTACTCTCTGCTGCTTCCATAACATAACAGAACATTTTCACAAGTTGCTCCCTCTGTCCGGTACCATTGGCCTTTACTGTCAGCAGTTTTGAGCTGTCTGGTTCCCACATGGCCCAACAGGGGCCAGGAACCACATCGTTCATATAGTCCATATAGTTAGCCACAGTGTTACAAACAAGCCAGTATCACCATTCGATTACCTTTTATGGAAAGGCCTGATCATATGTGAAAGGCTCTAGCCTAGAATTGTCGAAAGGTAACCACTCTATCAGGATTCCTAGACATTTGTGGACAGGGATTTCCTGACCACTCAGTGAAAGGGTACCAAGCCTGGCTTCTTAAGGACACTTGCACTGAAGCATCACTGTTCTCAGGGTGCCTAAAAACATAGTGTCATTGTTTACATGGCATAACTTTTTATATAAAAGCCATAACACTTTCAGAAGTTGCCCCCCTTTGTCATGTACCATAGACCTTCACTCTTAGCAGTTTTATTATTATTATTATTATTATTATTATTATT